AGCCCCTTGTGGCCAAAAATCAAGAAAATTTCATATATTGAGAAGTGTAGCTGTTGCTTATTGTGTTCTTTCTACCAACACAAAATTGAGTTTCTCCCTGTCCTACACTCCTACTAGTGTCTAGTAGTCCAATAGATTACACAGCATAGTGCCATCCGACTCCCTAGTGTTTTCCTCTGGATGTGGTTCTGTGACACCTAAATTTGAAAAGAGGCTAAGGATGATGGTTGAATGCCAACGAAATACAACGTCCAAACCTATTGTATCATTGCTAAGGACACCATGGCTTTAAAAGATTTCTATAACATGAAACTAACTGTATGTTTGATAGTTGATATATGAATAAGATTAAGGCCCTGCTTGGTAACCCTGCAAAACTTTGCTTAAAAATTAGCCTAATTTAATATTATCGAAACTCTAGATCAATGCTTTTATGAACGAATTTGATGCAAAACTTTGATATTTTTTTTAAGAGTGCAAAGATTTTACATTTTTCTTTATAAATTTTGTAAATTGTGTTATTTGATGCAAAAATTTTACACCTTTTCCCATGTTTATATTAAGTTATAGGTGGGGGACCATTAAAATTTAAGTTAAATAGGTGGGGACCATTAAAATTTAAGTTAAATAGGTGGGGACCAATAAAATCGAAGAGTTAATCATAGAGGGGACCACCCTAATTATAGTTTTGGCAAAACTTTGCATTTTTGCAGCCCAAACAAGCAGGGCCTAAAGAGGGTTATTTTGGTGTATAAATATATTTTTGGCCAAATAAACTTCAATTCTATAGAATGAGAATTACCACATCAGCAGAGAAAGGTGAGAGAGAGCCTCAGCCCAACCTCAGCCAAAACTAAACAAGCAAAGAAATGCATATTGCTTATAACAATCAATAGAATCCCATGATACACTCTAATTAACAACCAGATGAAGCAATAATTTTCTGTTTTTTCGTCTTATGTACTTTCTTCGGAGTTAAGCAATCATTTAAATTGCTATGTAAAAGAGCAATAGAACATATTTTACTTAAGTACACACTCGGTTTCAAACCAGGATATGGTAAAAATTTGATATAACTGAAATAGTGAAATTTGGAAATCTGAACCACAGAAAAAACTAGAAAAGTGACACATTTGGAAATGATTGGCAAAGTATAACATGGTAATCAAAATATCAATATGCCATAGGATTGTGAGACTATAACAGACCATTACACAGACTGAAATTAATATGAGGTGGTGATGAGGGAGAAGTCTTTTTGAGAGATAATTGGTAAGTGGTAACTTATACCCCCATCGCACCTTGAAGTTGCAACTATAGATCCAGTGTTGATAATTTTGAAAGAGGTCTATCGTCCTTGAGCAAGATAATTTTGAAAATCCTTTAGAAGTGAAAAGTTGAAATCTCATGTAGACCGGAGTTAAATTTACAATGTAATGAGAGACTTTTTTGCCTAAACAAAACTTCTATTTATAGCAAACAGTTTTACAATAGGTGTGAGAAAGAAACTCACATCTAGGTAACTAGGTTTATTAGAAACCAAGAAATACAAGCTAGGGTCCCATAACTCTTCCCCTTTAAATGATTAAATTGCATACTCCTCTCTTCAGTCCCTAGCCAATACCAAAGAGTTGCTTTGACCTGCAGCACTAGATATATCCCTTCAGAGTAGCTATATATCTAGGATTCTATAATAAGCACAAAATACACCTAGGTCATTTAGATAAGAGGGAGAGGTCTTTAGGAGATATGGTTGGTGAGTTACCCACCACCC